TGGGGGACACAAGAAGAGGACGGTAACTAGGACATGTTTGTTATTTGAACGGTTTCATTGCTGGCAATGGGGTGCAACTTGACATGCGATTTGCAACTGTCAAATCACACGATGAATTGCACCAGTGTGAATGAGGGCTCAGAGAAACAGAGTGGTGCTCAGGAGGGAGCATGCACAACTGCCCCCAGAGCAAGCAGTTTGCTCTGGGTCACAGGGGGGGTCAGGAGCTCCAGGGGGGAGGGGACAGTCAGGAGAAGAGGACGGCAAGTATGACATGCCTTTTTTTTTTTTTTTTTAAACCTCAGCCTTTAATATCTCTTTAATGCAAAGTTCATTACCATGTGACAATTGGCATAAGCAATAATTCACCCCAATGCTAAACTGCAAATGGGTCCCACTTTTTACATGTCCGTATGCTCCTTATAGTAGTCATGCACATATTGAAGAATTAAAACTCTAGGGACTGTAGAGTGGCTTAGGCTGGCCATACACTATACAATTTTCTGTCCAATTTCTGCCCAATTTCCTTTAGATTTACCTTCAACTATGTAGTGCAAGGGCCTGCCTAATTGGATACAATTGAAAGAAAGTTTAGTTTGGGATTGACCTCATATTATATGGTTTTTGGTAAATCTAAAGCAAAATTCTCAAGATAATTGTATAATGTATGACCAGCCTTAGTAGTTAGCACTTCATCTTTGCAGCACTGGGGATCCTGGTTCAAATCCCAATCAGAACATTATCTGCATGGAGTCGGCATATTCTCCCTGGGCTTTTCTGGATTTCTTTCCAAAGGTACGTTGGCTCCTGTCCAGCATGATGATAGTATGTGTATGTACGCATGTGAGATAGGGACCTTAGATTGTAAAGAAGGGACTGATGTGTATGTGCCTTATAAATCCCTATCATAAATGTCTTGTGGGCAGTCATTCATTCTTCTGGGCATGCATGACCCAGGAGAAAAGCTCTATACTCCATGATTCTGGGGGGGGGGGGGTATCCAGGCAGAAAACTTACCATCCTGAACAAAGCTCTTTGTAAGCATGTCTATAATGGAACAAAGTCACTACAATCCATCATAAATCCTATTTTGTGATTTCAGTAAACCAATGCAGCCCATACACTGCCCCATTGTTGTAGATCAGTGTTCTCCAAACTGTGGTCCAGGGACCGAATATGGCCCTTTGACTGCCTTTATCTGGCCCTTGGGGCACCATTCCTTCCACAAAAACAATATTAGGACATAATTCCTCCCACTGATATACAGTCATGGCCGAAATTGTTGGCACCCTTGATATTTTTCCTGAAAATCAAGTATTTCACACAAAAAAGGTATTGCATTAACACATGTTTTGCTATACACATGTTTATTCCCTTTGTATGTATTGGAACAAATATAAAACAGAGGCAGAAAAGCAAATATGACATAATGTCACACAAAACCCCAAAAATGGGCTGGACAAAAGTATTGGCACCCTTAACTTAATATTTGGTTGCACACCCCTTTGGAAAACATAACTGAAATCAGTCGCTTCCTATAACCATCAATAAGCTTCTGACACCTCTCACCCGGAATTTTGGACCACTCTTCCTTTGCAAACAGCTCCAGGTCTCTCTTATTGGAAGGACACCTTTTCCCAACAGCAATTTTAAGATCTCTCCACAGGTGTTCAATGGGATTTAGATCTGGGCTCATTGCTGGCCACTTCAGAACTCTCCAGCGCTTCTTTGCCATCCATTTCTGAGTGCTTTTTGACGTATGTTTGGGGTCATTGTCCTGCTGGAAGACCCAGGATCTTGGACGCAAACCCAGCTTTCTGACACTGGGCCCTACAGTGCGACCCCCAAAATCCTTTGGTAATCCTCAGATTTCATGATGCCTTGCCACACAGTCAAGGCACCCAGTGCCAGAGGCAGCAAAACAACCCCAAAACATCATTGAACCTCCACCATATTTTACCGTAGGTACTGTGTTTTTTGTTCTTTGTAGGCCTCATTCCGTTTTCGGTAAACAGTAGAATGATGTGCTTTTACCGAAAAGCTCTATCTTGGTCTCATCTGTCCACAAGACGTTTTCCCAGAAGGCTTTTGGCTTACTCAAGTACATTTTGGCAAACTGTAGTCTTGCTTTTTTATGTCTCTGTGTCAGGCAGTGGGGTCCTCCTGGGTCTCCTGCCATAGCGTTTCATTTCATTTAAATGTCGACGGATAGTTCGCGCTGACACTGATGCTCCCTGAGCCTGCAGGACAGCTTGAATGTCTTTGGAACATGTTTGGGGCTGCTTATCCACCATCCGGACTATTCTGCGTTGCAATCTTTCATCAATTTTCCTCATCCGTCCACACCAGGGAGATTAGCTACAGTGCCATGGGTTGCAAACTTCTTGATAATGTTGCGCACTGTGGACAAAGGCAAATCTAGTTCTCTGGAGATGGACTTTGTAACCTTGAGATTGTTGATATTTTGCCACAATTTTGGTTCTCAGGTCCTCAGACAGTTCTCGTCTCCTCTTTCTGTTGTCCATGCTTAGTGTGGCACACAGACACACAATGCAAAGGTTAAGTGAACATCTCTCCTTTTTATCTGCTTTCAGGTGTGATTTCTATATTGCCCACACCTGTTACTTGCCCCAGGTGAGTTTACAGGAGCATCACATGCTTGTAACATTTCTTATTTATCCGCAGTTGTGAAAGGGTGCCAATACTTTTGTCCAGCCCATTTTTGGAGGTTTGTGTGACATTATGTCGAATTTTGCACCCTTTTTTTGTTTTGTCCCAATACACACAAAGGGAATAAACATGTGTATAGCAAAACATGTGTTAATGCAATACGTTTCGTGAGAAATACATGATTTCCTGAGAAATATCAAGGTGCCAACAATTTCGGCCATGACTGTAAACTACAGAATACGATTACTTCCACAAACACTAAAGATGGTGCACTTTTCCTCCCACTGGTACCATCAATGGGGTACTATTCCTGCCACTGACATTAACAATGGGGCATAATTCCATCCACTGATATAAAATATAGAGCACTATTACTCCTGCTAACACTAAAGATGGGGCACTATTCCTGCCACTGACACCAATGTTGGAGCACCGGTCCTTCCACTGACACCAATGTTGGGGCACCATTCCTTCCACTGACACCAATGTTGGGGCACCGGTCCTTCCACTGACACCAATGTTGGGGCACCGGTCCTTCCACTGACACCAATGTTGGGGCACCGGTCCTTCCACTGACACCAATGTTGGGGCACCGGTCCTTCCACTGACACCAATGTTGGGGCACCGGTCCTTCCACTGACACCAATGTTGGGGCACCGGTCCTTCCACTGACACCAATGTTGGGGCACCGGTCCTTCCACTGACACCATTGTTGGGGCACCGGTCCTTCCACTGGTTGGGCACCGGTCCTTCCACTGACACCATTGTTGGGGCACCGGTCCTTCCACTGACACCACTGTTGGGGCACCGGTCCTTCCACTGACACCACTGTTGGGCACGGCACCGGTCCTTCCACTGACACCACTGTTGGGGCACCGGTCCTTCCACTGACACCACTGTTGGGGCACCGGTCCTTCCACTGACACCACTGTTGGGGCACCGGTCCTTCCACTGACACCATTGTTGGGGCACCGGTCCTTCCACTGACACCATTGTTGGGGCACCGGTACTTCCACTGACATCAGTATTGGGGCAAATTTTCTTTCATTGATACCAGTGTTGGGGCGCCATTCCTTACACTGACACCATTGTTGGGGCAAAATTTCTTTCATTGATACCAGTGTTGGGGAGCTATTCCTTCTACTGACACCAATGATTGGGCACTATTCATCCCACTGACATCAGTGATGGGGCACTATTCTGCATTTTCCACTCCCACTGCTTACAGTCCAGCCCCCCTTAAGTCAGAAGACCAGAAAACCAGCCCTTTGTTCAGAAAGTTTGGAGACCCCTGTTGTAGATGGTGGTGGGAGCAGTCATGGGGATTGTCCATAACATATCATCTATAAAGATTCCATCTCATCCAATCGATCACACTACAAGCAGAAAGTTCCATGCTATGATCACTGATTGGACAACTGAGATCAGAAATGATCAGAAGACTTCTATCACCAATAGTATCCTAGTGATCAATACTAGAGCTGTCATGCACTCTGTACTGGGAGCACATCAGGAGATCACGGTGATCGGTCCTCACACTGGACAGTAGGAAGGAGTTGTCCTCTCCCAGCCGGATCTCCACACTACCCCCCACTATGTCCATTTATTCTGGGTGTGTCACATCCCCTCTCTGTACACCGCGGCTGCCAGTGCCATAGCGCACAATCACATGCAGACAGCAGCGTGCCAGGCTGCCAGCCACCTCTCCTCCCTCCCCCACCTCCACAATACGGCGGATCGGGCAAAGTCTGACTCACCAGATGCCGGGACAGATCCGGAGAAGCGTCCATAACTTCCACACTCAACAGCAGCGCTCCTCCACCGCCCCGCCCCTCACACCAACCCTGCTCAGATCCCGCCCCTGCAAGTGATCGCCACGCCCACAACAGCTGCACGGCCCCTCCCCTGTGAGTGTGATGAGCCGGGCAGGTAGGATCAGCTGCCTGTGCCTGTTGTGTGGAGCGCCGCACAGCTGGTAAACCCTTCTACATTCCACTCACTGTCTGTTATTCATTCATTCGTTTCAGTACGGACTCGAAGCAGCACCGTTCTTCCAGAACCACAGCCAGTATGTTTTTCTTCTTTTTTGACTAAGAAGAAAAAAAGAAACATTTATTTTTCAGCTACATACAAACAACTTTTTATTATTTTTCATACACGTGCAAAAGACAAACCGTTTTTTCATTTTTCATATACAACTACTACAGGGCAGCAGGGGTGTGCAAAAATCACGTATATATACGTACTTTAGCATTTCCGGGTAGGGGGCGAGCACACCTTACCTGCGCCGCAATTCACGGCCTTGGCTGTCAACCACTGGTCCCGGTCAGTGGAGGGGGAAACTGTATGTAAACAACACAGATCTCTCCCCTGTCAGCTCCACCACACTGCTTTGTATGGCTCTGCATAGCACAGCCATACAAAGCAGTGTACTTACAGTGTAAAGCACAAACACAGCACACAGAATTATTATAATACAGGATTTATATAGCGCCAACAGTTTGCTCAGCGCTTTACAATATAACAGGAGACAATACCGTAATAATACAGTTCAATACAAGAGGGTTCAGAAGGCCCTGCTCCTTAGAGCTTACAATCTAAGAGGGAGGGGCTAGTGGTACAAAAGGTAGTAACTCTGGGGGATGGACTGGTAGGAGGAATAGAAGATTCCATTATTAGCTGAGGGCAGGATAGGCTTCTCTGAAGAGATAGGTTTCCAGAGATTGCCTAAAAGTGAGCAGAGTAGGTGATAGTCTGATAAATTGGGGTAGAGAGTTCCAGAGGATGAGGGAAGCTCTGGAGAAGTCCTTGAGATGAGCATGGGAGGAGGAGACAAGGGAGCTGAGAGAGTAGGAGGTCTTGCGAGGAGCGGAGAGTACGGTGTGGATGTTTGGAGACAAGATTGGTGATGTAATTTGGGGCAGAGTTATAAATGGCTTTATATGTTATTGTTAATGTTTTGAATTTTATCCGTTGGGCAATGGGAAGCCAGTGGAGGGATTGGCAGAGAGGGGTGGCAGATACAGAGCGGTTAGTAAGGTGGATGAGTCTGACAGCAGCATTCATGATAGGCTGAAGAGCGGATAGCCTGCGATTAGGTAGGCCAATGAGGAGGGAGTTACAGAAGTCAAGGCGAGATATAACCAGGGAGTGAATAAGTTGTTTAGTGGTTTCCGAGGTTAGGAACGGCCATATCTTGTAGATGTTGTGGAGGTGAAGTCTACAAGATTTGGACAGCGATTGGATTTGGGGCTGAAAGGACAGATGGGAGTCTAGGATTACACCTAGCACCCTGGCATGAGGGGAGGGACTGATGGTTGTATTATTGATCTTGATGGAGAAGTCAGGGGAGGGGGCACAGGCTGGAGGGAATACTAAGAGCTCAGTTTTGGAAAGATTGAGTTTGAGGAAGTGGAGTGACATCCATGCCGATATGTCACTTAGTAGGTTAGTAATACGAGAGGAGACTGAAGGGGTGAGGTGAGGGGTAGAAAGATAGATTTGTGTGTCATCAGCATAGAGATGGTACTTAAAGCCATGGGAGTTTATCAAGTGACCAAGGGAGGAGGGGTAGATGGAGAAGAGAAGGGGTCCAAGGACAGAACCTTGAGGGACCCCTACAGAAAGAGGGAGTGGAGTGGAGTGGAGGAGGCCAGAGTTATAGGTAATGCTGAAGGAGCACTGTGATAGGTAGGAGAAGATCCAGGAGAGAGCAGAGTCTCGCAGGCCAAGAGAGTGGAGTTTTTTGAGGAGAAGGGGATGGTCAACAGTATCAAAAGCTGCAGAGAGGTCAAGTAGTAAGAGTACAGAGTAGTGGCCATTGGTTTTAGCAGTTAGTAGATCATTAGTGAGTTTTAGTAGGTCAGTTTCAGTGGAGTGTTGTGAGCGAAAGCCAGACTGTAAAGGGTCAAGAAGGTTGTTGGTGAGGTGGGAGCTCAGGCGACTGTAGACTAAGCATTCTAGGAGTTTAGAGGTAAATGGCAGCAGGGAGATGGATCTTAAGTTGTTCAGGTTGGTGGGGTCCAGCGAGGGTTTTTTAAGTATGGGAGTGATGTGTGCATGCTTTAGAGGGGAGGGGAAGGCACCGTTAGAGAGGGAGAGATTGAAGATGTGAGTGAGGGAGCATAGGATGTAAGAAGAGGGTGACCGTAGTAGTTGTGAGGGGACAGGATCCAGGAGGCAGGTGATGAGGCAGGCTTCTGAAAAAACCTTAGAGACCTCTTCAGTAGTAGCAAGCTCAAAAGAAGAAAGTGTTGAGAGAGGTTTAGTATAAGGTATGCTAAGTGGGATGGATGTCTGTGCAGTGGAGATGCCCCCACGAATTGCATCAATCTTGTTTTTGAAATGATTTGCAATCTCGTAAGCAGTGAGTGAGTTACTGGGTGGAGGTGAAGGTGGAGAAAAGTAGAGAGTTAAAAGTAGAGCAGAGATGACGAGGACTGGATGACAAGCTATTGATGAGAGTGACAAAGTAGGCTTGTTTGGCAGCATGGAGGGAGGAATTATATGTTAAGAAAGCAGATTTATATAGGGTGAAAACTTGGTGAGATTTGGTTTTATGCCCCAATCGCTCCATGTAGCAATTGTATGTAAAGATATGGACACGGCCATCCATTTTGCTCAAGATCCACTATCTTGTGTCATTCTCACTCCAAATCAGTCCCCCTCCCTTTTTGTTGAATGGCATGTGGTCTGTGTGTGTGCAGAGTTTAGGAGTGCACATGGCACAGCTGGATACACTTCATGGTTGTAAACCCAATTAGCTGGTTTCAGGGTGTCTGACAGACTCTTGCTCTGGCCGGATCGTAAAGCTATAAACCCGTCAGTCACTGGACTTGAAAGCATTCCGAAATAGCAGTAAAACATACATCCCATTTAAAACCACTTTTTCATACAATTTCATAACTCCCAGCAGGAAATAGGTACAATAGAACAAAGCATATATTCAGATAGGTCAGTTTAATGCCAGTCACCTGATACCTTACATCCTAGATTACGTCTACCCGAGAGCAGAAAGCGATATCTCTTTAACCGTCACAGGCAGATAAGTCATATCTGGTGGCTGGACGTTCAGAATATGATTCTGCACATTATTCTACTAGTGGATAGGATGCTACATGTACCTATGGAAGGTTATTGACCATGGTGTGGACTTGTGAGGGATTTGGGTCACAACCGGGGTCTCTGCCTAAACCCCCTCCCCAAATGAGGCGATTGGCCCTTGGCTTCAGTAGACACCCCCTGCTGGGGGACTAGAAAATAGGCTGTCAGGCCTGGAGAATAAGATGAAGAGATTCTCCCTTTTAATATCAGGAACCAACTTTGGGAGAAAAGGTACCCTTTTGTTCAGGACACTTGAATCTGCTTAAACCAAGGACTCTGGCAAGTATTCTACCTCTTTAAACTTCTTTCTGTTATCTCTCTGCTGTGTTATTGCTCTCTGTATTTATATATATATATATTGGCTAAATCTTTTTCTGTAAATATTTTTATTGCACCATTTTGACCTTTTTAGTAAAAAATCCTATTTTCTGAAAAGTGATGAACTGTTTCTAAAGCTCTTTAATGCAAACTAAGAATCCCTGTCTCTGAAGAGCACTACTGTGTGTTTTAAACTTTTGCATACATCTGCCTGCGGTAACAGTGTGTATACAGACACTTATTCAAACATCATAGTGTTACTGCTAAGATTTGTAAATTTCCTCCTTCTCTGTACAAAAAGGTGGTGGTGGCAGTGTGAAGGGTTAATTGTGTAATTAACCTGACCCAGTATCAATCGCTCTCAGGCTGCGGCACATAGATTGTGGTCCAGTGAGCTGGAAAATCTTTGTGCAGGGTGCAGCTGAGCGTAGCATTGTTATGCAAGTGACAGCGCGGTTTTAGATTGGCTAGTCCTTTGGTCACAAGTCGGTTGAGAAGGGCTGGGGGTCTGACGCCGTGCCCGTCACACTCCAGTGCACGACTATGTCACTTAAGATTTCTGGTGTCGTCAGTCTGCCAAGGTTGTAATAGTTGGGGCCTGATACTTCGTGTTGTTAAAGGAGCAAGTGAGTCTAGTGTGGATGAAAGCAAACCGTTGTAGACAGCAGTGGCCAAGTCAGGGCAGGACATGGGAGAGATTCTGTCATAGAGGCGGTCAGTTGCAGAGTGGAAAGGAGCAGGGTTCACGTTGTGAAGGTTTCTACAGGTAATTGTTTGCTGCTTGGAGGGATAGGTGTTTGAAGATGAGGACACTGTGAAGGTGATGAGATTATGATCAGAGAGAGGAAAGGGGGTGTTTGTGAGGTTGTAGGTTGTAGGGAGTGCAACTATTGGAGTAAACAAGGTCTAATGTATTCCCATCAGAGTGAGTGGAGTACAGTGTCCATTGTGTCAAGGCAAAATATGAGGTTAGGTTGAAGAGTTGGGATGTAGCCGGGTTGCTCACATTAATGGGGATGTTAAAATCTCCAAGAATGATAGTGGGTAGTTCAGAGGAGAGAAAGTAGGGCAGCCAGGAGGAGAAAACATCAAGAAAGCGTGACACGGTCCAGCAGGCCGATAGATCACTGCAATCCTCAGAGAAATGGGAGAAAACAGCCGAATGCAGTGAGTCTCAAAAGAAGAGAAGGATAGAGAGGGAGGGTTACGGAGGACTTGAAAGGTGCTCAGTGGGGACAGAAGCAAACCAACCCCACCTCCTTTCTGACCACTGGGTCTGGGTGAGTGTGTTTAGAGGAGGCCTCCATAGGAAAGTGCTGCAGGAGAAGCAGAATCTGATGCTTGAAGCCAGGTTTATGTAATTACTAGTAGGTTAAGGGTGCGGGAGACAAAAAGGTCATGGACATAGGTGGGCTTATTACAGACATAGCGGGCATTCCAGAGTGCACATGAAAAAGGGAAGGTGGTTTTTGGGAGCACGGGGACTGATATTAAATTGAGGGGATTGCGGCTATTCCTGGAGGAAAGAGGGTGCTTGGTGTGGGGGTGAAATAGTGGAGGACCAGGGTTTGGGGAGATATCCCCAGAGGTTAGGAGAAGAAGGAGGGTGAGGAAAGTAAGATGGGAGCGGGATGTATACAAGTGTACATGCCTTCCAATCCTGGTTTGGGTCAGCAGGTGAGTAAAGTATCAGCAGGAGGTGATGAGAGCAGTAGTAGGGAGATGGTAGCAGTGAGGGTGATATGTATAAGCTTTAAGGTGGAGCAGAGGAGTAAAGAGATGAGATTTTGGGAACACAGGATAGTAATATGAAAAGGAGGAGTAAGGATACCAGGGTTCCTTTTATCCCTGGACATTTATAAAGCGTTCGATTCACTTTCGTGGGAATATTTGACATATACGCTGTCTAGATGGGGGTTTGGTGATGCAATTCTGGCATGGATCTCAGCTTTATATTCGTCTCCCTCGGCCTCTGTTAAATATGCAGGTTTTTTTTCCTCGTCCTTTCCTATTTTCAGGGGCACGAGACAGGGATGCCCATTATCACTTGCTCTTTTCGTTCTTGCTCTTGAACCTTTAGCTGCAGCCATTCAAAATCACCCGGATATTTCTGGTGTCCCCTATGCCGGCACTCAATACAAGGCCAACTTTTATGCGGATGATGCGCTTTTGGTTTTAACCAATCCTCTCATCACTCTCCCCAATCTCCAAGTCATATTGGACGGTTTTTCGACTATTTCTGGCCTCCGCATTAATTTGTCTAAAACCACGGCATTGAATATTACGCTCCCTGCCGACCTGGTTGAACGGTTGCAGACACACTTTCCCTACCGTTGGGCATCCCATTCTCTGACCTATCTTGGCATTACACTTACTTCCTCCTATTCTACTTTATTTTTGGCTAATTATTACCCCTTATTGCGCTCTGTTACTTCCCTGATTCATTCTTGGCAGTTTCCTTTATCTTGGATTGGCCGGATACATGCTGTCAAGATGACTATTTTGCCGAAGATCCTGTACTTTTTCTGTACTCTTCCTATTCAGGTTCCCTGCGTTTTTTCTTTGTGTACAGCAAAGCCGGATTCTCAGTTTTATTTGGACTCATAAACGTCCCAGAACCTAGAGCCATTCTATATACGCATAGATTACAGGGAGGTTTGGGAGTGCCACACGTTTCTAGATATTACTTGGCGGCCCAGATTTCCCAGTTGTCTATGCTTCATGCCACGACAGATATCCCGTTATGGGTACTATTGGAATTACCCAACTGTGCTCCGCTTTCCCTAACTGCATTGCTTTGGCTCCCGCCTAAGCTACGCCCTCCGGATATGAGCCCTATCATGCTTCACAGTTTACGAACCTGGGATTCTGTAAAATATTCGGGTAATTTGATTTCATCATTTCTACCTCTTTTGCCGATCACGCATAATCCTTTATTTCCGCCAGGCCTAGAACATCCCCCTTCTTTCTCTTGGTGGACCTCCCATGGCTTTGTTATTGTACATGAACGCTCGCACATTTCCTTCATGGGAATCTCTTCAAGAATCAAGGGGGGTCCCTCCATGGGAATATTATCGATATTTGCCATTGCACCACTGGGTCCTTTCCCTTCGTCGTACTTCTACATACCCTTACCACAAAACGTCCTTTGAACACGTTTGTCAGCACTCCCCAGGGTCCCCTGGTCTCATTTCTGTAATTTATGCCTCCCTTAACAGTAGGTCCTCCTCACCACCCCATGTCTCTCAGCGGGAGTGAGATCTGGGTGGCTCGATTGCGGCGGAGGAGTGGCGTAGGGCCTGGGGGATGGTGGCGAAATGTTCATTCAATACAGTCACTCTTGAGGCAACCTACAAAGTTCTCCTGTGGTGGTACTGGGTCCTGGCTCAGACTGCACACTTTAATCCGACTGGTGGAGATAGATGTTTCCGGAACTGTGGTCTACGTGGGGACGTCTTACACATTTGGTGGACGTGCCCGCGATTGATAGGCTTCTGGTCTAGGGTTTTTGGTTTGCTACAAACGCTATTTCACATTACGGTCCGTAGGGATGCAAAGGAGCCGTTCTACATTGCCCAATTCTGGGTCTGTCTAGATCTCAGCAGAAACTGGCATCCTACCTATTTATTTCGGCCAAACGCGCCATAGCTCAAGCTTGGAGAACCCCTTCGGTTGTCTTCCAAGGAGTGTAGACCCGGATGAATGATATGTTGATCAATGAACAGATGTCTAGCATTCTTCATAATTCTCATCCGAGATTTCTTAAGGTTTGGGAACCTTGGATATGATATTCCTTGCCATCCCTGCCCCTTACTAGTTATGACCCCTTATAATTGCTGCCTGTGCTAGCCCTGGATCCGTGACTCTTCTAGTCTCCCTTTCCTCTGTTTTCTTTCTGATTCCTTTTTTTTTTTCTTTCTTCTAACCTTTTTTCTTTCCCCTTCTCTTTACGGTATTATGTTGGACTACTGCCGATAATATTTGGTTCGGCTGTTTACCGTCCTTCCTTGCTGTTATTAGACATTTTATTATTTGGCTAATACAAGTCAGCAGGTTGTACCTGTTCCTGAGTTATTGTTATGCTCGGCCCCTGCGTGGGCGTATATTGAGCTTGTTGTGTTCATAAAACAAAACTTTCTTAATAAAAATATTGAAACAGAAAAGGTAGAGTAGAGGTGGCATATTAAAAAGGTACACGAGTGGAACTCAGACTTGTAGGAAATGTTTCCCAGGGTGTTTGCTTACAGTCCATCCAGCATGCAGTAGAGTTCTTTGTTGTATCTTCCTGCTGCTTGGGTTATCCTGTTTTAGTTAAACTGCTGTGTTCAACTGCATCTTCACACTCCAGCATAAACCACACTCACGCAGAGAACTGCACCACATCTGCGACTGTGCCCCCCCCATCTGTGACCTCCCCCCATGAGCTGGTAAAACACACACAGCACATCGTTAACCCTTTGATCGCTCCACATGTTAACCCCTTCCTGCCCAGTGCCATTAGTACAGTGTCAGTGCTTTTTATTTGCACTGATCACTGTATTGGTGTCACTGGGGATGTCAGTGACACCAAGTCAGTTAACCCCAGTGTCAGAATGCACGCAGTCTCACAATACGTTGCTGATCACCGCCATTACTAGTAAAAAAAAAAATTCTGGTACGTATATCACCATTGATGAACGCTACAACTTTCACATAAACCAATTAATTGTAAGCTCCAAGGAGCAGGACCCTCCTAACCCTCTTGTATTGAACTGTATCGTTGATGTATTGTCTCCCTTTATATTGTAAAGCACTGATCAAACTGTTGGCGCTATATACAGTTAAGTCCATATATATTTGTACACAGGCACAATTTTAGTTTTTTTCAGGTATTTACCAAAACATATTCAAGCTATAGTTATATAGTGGATATGGGCTGAAAGTGCACACTCTCAGATTTAATTTGAGTGTATGTACATCCAAATTGGAGGAAGAGTTTAGGAATTACAGCTCTTAAGAGTAGCCACCCCCCCTTTTTCAAGGGACCAAAAGTAATTGGACAATTGAATATGATCAGAAATAAAATGTTAATTTGTAATATTTTGTTGAGAATTCTTTACTGGCAATGACTGCTTGAAGACTGGAACCCATGGACATTACCAAAGACTGGGTTTCCTCCTTTCTGATGCTTTGCCAGGCTCTAACTGCAGCTGTCTTCAGTTGTTCTTTGTTTGTGGGTCTGCCTTTAGCTTTGCCTTCAGCAAGTGAAATGCATGCTTGAGATCAAGTGATTGACTCGGCCATTGCAGAATATTCCACTTCTTTTCCTTCATAAGCTCCTGGGTTGCTTTTGCAGTGTGTTTTGGATCATTGTCCATCTGTACTGTGAAGAGCCGTCCAATCAACTTTGCTGCATTTGGCTAAATCTGGGCTGACAGTATATCTCTAAACACTGCAGAATTCATCCAGCTGCTTCTATCTTCTGTCACATCATCAATAAACACCAATGACCCAGTGCCACTGGAAGCCATGCATGCCCATGTCATCACACTGCCTCCACCATGTTTTACAGCTGACGTTGTGTGCTTTGGATCATGAGCTGTTCCAAGCCTTCTCCACACTTTTTTCTTCCCATCATTCTGGTACAGATTCATCTTAATTTGATCCAAAAGGTTTTTCTTTTAATATGTATATGAAAAATAAAAAAAAATGTTTTTTTCTTTTGACATGTAAATGAAAAAATTTTTAAAAAGTTTTTTCTTTTAGTATGTATATGAAAAATAAAAAAAAAATTTCTTTTAATATGTATGTGAAAAATAAAAAAAGGTTTCTTTGTTTTAATAGGTATATGAAAAATAAAAAAAAGTTTTTTTCTTTTAATAGGTATATTAAAAATTATAAAAAAAGTTTTTTTTTTTTTAAAGGTATGTTTAGTTGAAAATATTTTTTTCATTTTTATATACAGAATACATTTTTTTTCTTTTCATATACATATTAAAAGAGAAAAAATTTTTGATCTTTCATATACATATTAAAAGAAACATTTTTTAAAAAATATATTTTCATGTACCTATTAAAAGAAAAACCTTTTTTTCTTTTTGTATGTAAGCTCCAAGGAGCAGGGCCCTCCTATCCCTCTTGTATTGAACTGTATTGTTGCTGTATTGTCTCCCGTTATATTGTAAAGCGCTGAACAAACTGTTGGCACTATATAAATCCTGTATAATAATAATAATGATAATAATATACTGTATGTGCATTACTTTACATTTTTCAACATTAAAACTCATTTGCTGCTGTGAAGTTATTGCCCTACTTAGCTTTGTATCCTCAGCAAACACTGAGATTGAGCTATTCATACCAACCTCTATATCATGTATAAAAAAAAATTAAACAGAATTGGTCCCAGGACAGAGCCTTATGGCACCCCACTTACCACTTCAGACCAGTCTGAAAACTCGCTATTTATCCCCACCCATCCTTGTAACCAGTTTTCTAACCATGAACAAACCCTCTGGTTTAGGCCTACAGACCTCAGTTTGTAAAGTATGCATTTAGGTGGAACTGTATCAAATGCTTTTGCAAAATCCAGGTACACCACATACTCCTCCATTCCTTTATCTAGATGGCAGCTCACTTCCTCGTAGAATGTTAACGGATTTGTTTGACAAGAATGGCCTTTCTGTGATTTCCTTTATATTGTATTCTATACTCAAGAAGACTAAAAGTTTATATTGAAAGATATCTGCATTAACATTCCTTTCTGTCTGTTGACTTAAGATTCCTTAGTAAATACTCAGTTGTTTTGCTACAGTTTGGTGTTTTTGCAATTGTGATCTTTTGTGAACTATGTCTAAACCCAGGATGTCAGAGGTGTCAAGAAGTTTGCATGGTCAGGGCAACCTTTGGGGACCGTAATCTTCCAGTGGCCCCTGCATGAGTGGCGCTACAAATTAAAGAATATGTAAACCCACCATTTCATATCCCTGATATATGCCTGCTGTACCATGTACTTATTGCTTCCTTAGTATGAAATCCATGGTGTTCTGGCCAATCCCCCTGCTTTCCTATTAAAAACTGACCACACTAATGGCGGGAACATATCACCATATCTGGTGGTCCTGCCCGGCCGTTCAAGTTTTCTGATTTGGAATCTTCCGCATGCTGTCTACTCTTTTTGCACAAGCAGTGTTGCCTAAATCTGCAACCCCACTCGATATCCAACTCCCAATTCAAACTTCTTTTAAAGGTCACTGTGCATTCTAGCAGTTCGGAACAAGGTGACACAGGCAATGATACATGCTAAAGTGGAAGCTGCCATTACAGACACTGTCCCTAAATTTTTGTCAGTTTGGACCTCCTGGGTGGAACACTTCCTTCCTCCGAACTTTGATGAATCATTGCTCCTCCCCTAATAATCCCCCACTTCACCTATTGGCAGTCCTGAGCCTTGGTCCGGTCACAAGTCCCCCCCATTATTCTGGAAGTCACACGTTCTGTCTGCCCCCTCCTCTCCCCTCTTATTGCCCTTCTTCTCTTACTCTAACCAATCTTACTCTAACTATTCCAATCGTCTCTCTTTGCCTTCCAAGGAACCCGCCCACAAGTCCTAGGAGTACCACCTATTTGTTTCCATTTAACAATGCCTTGCTCCTTTACATTACATTATTCACTCCTGCCCATTGCAGTTTCCTTTCAGTTTATAAATGTTGGACCATTAAAGTTGGCCATCAGGCCTCATGCTATAATTTTTTCCTATTGTGAACGCTCCTTGCATATTGTATGTATGCCATATACAGTGAAGGAAATAAGTATTTGATCCCCTGCTGATTTTGAATGTTTGCCCACTCAGAAAGAAATGATCAGCCTAAAAATTGAATGGTAGGTGTATTGTAACACTGAGAGACAGAATAACAACAAAAAATTCAAAAGAAATGCATGTCTAACAAATGATGCACTGATTTGCATTTTCATGAGGGAAATAAGTGTTTGATCCCCTTCTCATAACATGACTTAGTACTTGGTGGCAAATCCCTTGTTGGCAATCACAGAGGTCAGATGTTTCCTGTAGTTGGCCACCAGGTTTCCACACATCTCAGGAGGGATTTTGGCCTACTCCTCTTGGCAAATCCTCTCCAAGTCATTAAGGTTTGGTGGCTGATGTTTGGCAACTCGAACTTTCATCTCCCTCCACAGATTTTCAATCTGATTACAGTCTGGAGACTGGCTAGGCCACTCCAGGACCTTAATGTGCTTCTTCTTGAGCCACTCCTTTGTTGCCTTGGCCGTGTGTTTTGGGTCATTGTCATGCTAAAACACCCATCCATGACCCATTTTCAATGCCCTGACGGAGGAAAGAAGGTTCTCACCCAAGATTTGATCGTACATTGCCCTGTCCATTGTCCCTTTGATGCGGTACAGTTGTCCTGTCCCCTTAGCAGAAAAACACCCCCAAAGCAGAATGTTTCCACCACCATGTTTAACAGTTGGGATGGTATTCTTGGGGTCATAGGCAGCATTCCACCTCCTTCAGACATGGCGAGTTGAGTTGATGCCAAAGAGCTCGATTTTGGTCTTATCTGACCACAACACTTTCAACCAGTCCTTCTCTGCATTATTCAGATGTTCAGTGGCAAACTTCAGATGGGCCTGGACATGTGCTTTCTTGAGCAGAGGGACCTTGCGGGCACTGCAGGATTTCAATCCTTGTTGGCGTAGTGTGTTACCAATTGTTTTCTTGGTGACTGTGGTCCCAGCTGCCTGGAGATCATTGACAAGATCCTCACATGTAGTTCTGGGATAATTCCTCACTGTTCTCATGATCATTGACACTCCACGAGGTGAGATCGTGTACCAGACCTAGAGAGACTGACACTTGTTTTGTGTTTTCTCCATTTGCGAATGATTGCACCAACTGTTGTCACCTTCTCACCAAGCTGCTTGGCGAGAGTTTGGTAGCCCAGTCCAGCCTTGTGTAGGTCTACAATCTTTTCCCTGACATCCTTGGACAGCTGACATCCTTGGACGTCTTTCGTCTTTGCCATGCTGGAGAGTTTGGAATCTGATTGTTTGATTTTTCCTGTGGACAGGTATTTTTTATACAGGTAACAAAATGAGATTAGCAGCACTCCATTTAACCACTTCATATACTTTATATACAATGGCCGGATGGGAGCAGTGCAGGGGCAGGTGGGCGTTTATAAACAGCCTCCCCGCCCCCTGCTTGTGCGCGCTCCCTGGCAGCGTGCAGCACCGCGATCCGGTGCCCGCTGTGTCCTCCGGACACAGTGGAACACCGATCATTGTACAGGACCTCTGTGTGAGGTCCCGATCATGTGATCACTGATTGGCCACAGAGGTCAGATGGTACAAGGCTATTCACAACAGCCTTGTACCATGTGACAAGCTGTGACCAATCACAGCTCACACAGTATTTCTAAATGGCTGCAAGAATGCAGCCAGAGAGAAGGACAAATGATTGCTTTTACAGCCTTTATGGGTGTAAAAGCAATCAGTGTAAAAAAAAAAAAATCTTCATAACCCCACACAAGTAGTACAGTGTCACCATGGGGACACTGTATTGCTAAGGTGACAGTATGTAAAAAAAAAGAAAAAAAAAATAATATAAAAAAATTAAATAAAAATGTACAAAAAAAAAAAAATCCCAGTGGTGAATAAATACCACCAAAATAAAGCTTTATCTGTCTAAAAAAAAAAATGATAAAAAATTAATATGGGTACAGTGTTGCATGACAGTGCAATTGCCATTCAAAGTGTGATAGCGCTGAAAGCTGAAAATTGGCCTGGATAGGAAGGGGGTAAAAGTGTCCGTACTTGAAGTGGTTAAGAGACTGCTTCTAATCTCAGCTTGTTACCTGTATGAAAGATACCTGGTAGCCAGAAATCCTGCTGAATGATAGGGGATCAAATGCTTATTTCCCTCATGAACATGCAAATCAGTGCATCATTTGTTAGACATGCATTTCTTTTGAATTTTTTGTTGCTATTCTGTCTCTCAGTGTTACAATACACCTACCAATCGATTTTTAGACTGATCATTTCTTTGTGAGTGGGAAAACATTCAAAATCAGCAGGGAATCAAATACTTATATCCTTCACTGTAACTTGAATCCCCAATATAAAGTTTGAACAAGAAAACTGACCACACTAGATGTGAGAGCAACACATGGTCGGTTCTCTAGCTGTGTTAGAAACTCAGCCTTCTCTCATCCAATGATCAGACTTGTCCTGAAACCACCCCCCTCTTGTACAGTCATTCACTGTGCTGCTGTTTCTCCTACCCCAGCTCTCTGAGCACCTTATGCAGCTGAGAACAGAGGGTATGTGATCACTCATAAAAAAGGGGGAAAAAGGTATTTATAATGTTTTTATATCTATAAACAAATGCTTTACCTATAATTTCTATTTTAAACTGAATGGGTTGTTTTACAGGGTGAGGATTTACATACTGTATACTTTACAGTTACAAGTAACACATTGCGTGGAACACAACACATAGTAAAGCACATCAAAATAAGACACAGGTCAGGGTCGGGCTAACAACTCATGGGGCCCCCGGGCAATAGGGGATCATGGGGCCCCTGTGTCCTTGCCCAAACTCAAAAAAGCCTATGAAAAAGGTAGCAGGGGCATCTCATGGGGCCCCCTACTGACCCCGGGCCCTCGGGCAGTGCCCGAGTTTCCAAATGGTCAGTCTGCCCCTGACACAGGTACAACCAAACACACAAAAAAACTGGAAGTACGATGCTTGGTAAGCATTTTAAATCTGTCTTGTGGGATGGCTTTCATTTGACCAACTAATATAACAATAGGGAATGGGCAAACTAAGGACTATAAGGCCTCATACACACAGGGTGTTTGTTCAGTCCCTCCTGGCAGGAAAAATGCTGTTGCAGCTATGTTTAGACAAGTCAAGCATAATGAAGAATGCATTAATATTCAAAGGCTAGATGCATCTGGTGTTCAAACGCATTTAGAACTACGTAGGTGCTCTTTAGCTCCTCTCCTAAACTCTTTTGGTATTTGTTTCACCTATAAATGTTACTCTTCTAATACGTCTGTAAACACCTATGTGTGTATGAGCACAGGCTTACATAGAGGTGCTTTTACAAGCATAAAAAAAATGGCAAAGGCCTGCAAAAGAGGTGTTCTTAAGCCCAGTGTGCTTGAGGCATAAAAACAGGGCATGAAGGGGCAAAAAACTCTGACCCCCGCCCCACTAGAGGGATGAGGGAGTTGGGGCTGGAAAAGGGAAGTCCTAAGGCTGGCCATACATTATTCAGTTTTCTTGAGATTTTTGCTTTAGATTTACCAAAAACCATATAATAGGAGGTCAAACCCAAACAACACAGTTGTATCCAATCAGGCAGGCTCTTGCACTACACAGTTGAAGGTAACTCTAAAGGAAATTGGGCAGAAATTGTAAGAAAATTGTATAGTGTATGGCCAGCCTTACTCTGCAGAGGCATTGAAAAAGTGCAATTCAACGATGGTCCAGAAGGCAGGACCAGAGAGGTCTGAGCTTGTTGGAGAGATGAAAGAGCTATAATGCTGAGAGAACTGAAAGTTATTCTGATAAAATCAGGTGTTACAAAATTGCTCCTCATAATTTAGTGTGGCTGTAAGGTCCTCTATGTGCTTAGGTGTCCTTTTTATCCTGAGGATTGTTGCTGATCTCCAATCATTATTGGTTTAGGAAACAGAGATGATCAGCAGAGAACATGATCTCCACTGATCATCTCAGCACACAGATGGCCAGTGTATGAAGGAGCGATGTCAGCCCATCACTGGCGATCTGTGTTCTCCCTCCAGATTCTCCAGCCCAGAGGTAGAGAATCGGGGAACCGCAAACGAAGCAGTGATAATTCACCGTTGCTTAGTAAACAGTGTTTGACTGATCTCTTACTGTAATTAAACGAGATTATAGTAAAAGCAGCTGTTTTCCAGCGTTCAAAGTGTTTGTAGATTGCTTCTCCTCTCCCTTCATTCGGAGAAGCGATCTACACCGCTTCATAAAAAGGCATTCAGAGGAGAACTCTCTCCTCTGAGAATGCTGGAGAACTGAGCAGCAGTCATTTACCACTGCATGATAAAAGGACACCTAAATCTCATTAACCACAGAGATTCACCGACCAACAGTGGGAGGGTCTGTGCAATTCCATCTCAAAGTATAAATGCTCTGACTCCACATTCACCAGATGGATTAGGAGGGAATATGTACCCATATATACCCGTACGTCCAAAAAATGTCATCATTGTACAAAGGGCATGTGTAACATGTCCTGTCATTCTGTCCTGCTACCAGGACCTCCCCTGTCCCAGTACTCAGGCAATTCAGCTCTGATTAGCCACTTCCTGTCTGGACCATGTACATAAAAAAATGTATACTTTTTATGTGCAAAAACACTTTTTATTTTTAAATACTGCTCAAAAAAAGAAAAAGCATGTTTTGTTACATCTATTTGCTTAAGGATCATGGGGAAACAAATAATTGTTGCAAGACGATATTCATGAAAAGAAAGCCTTGTTTGTCCTTAAAAAAAAACAATATATGTATTATATTTTTAACTTAAGTAATGACAAAGGTATTGCCGAATAAACAGGCCTATAGCAGAAATGTACAAATTGCTCTGGTCCATAGGGGTGAATAGGTGTGAGAGCTGAAGTAGTTACAATGTGTTTTTGGAGGGGGGTTGAGATGTAAAAGAACAGCAGGAGCCCACAGAGATGCCTGTGAGCTTATCTTTCAGCTTTGTTATGTCTTCCCAGTAGGGTTGTAGCAGTGGACATCCCCACAAAATATGTAGCAGTGTACCACTTGCCTGACTACACCTCCGGTATTTAGAGGTAACTGAGGACTCTATATCACCCTGTTAAAAGAGAAGTATGGGTTTGTTTGTTTTTTTTTTTTTTCCAAATTATAATTTTTTTTCCCCAAATTATAATTAGCTAGGACTAGGTGGATGCAGCATCAGCTCTAAGTGTGAGAACTCAGAAATCACATGACTGTTGACAGTCCCACAGCCGATGTGAGCAGAGAACGGTGACTGTCACCGCTGTCTGCTCTGTCCCCACTGGATCACTGGGCTGTGGAGGGGCAGCTTGCTGAGAGGCTCAGCCAGGTACCGCACCAGACTTTGCGGTAGATCCCGGTCTAAAGTTAGGATCCTTCCCCAGTCTGGAGTGACATCAGCTGACAGTGTGCTTCAGTCGGCTGTCAGCGGAAAACGGGTCAAAGGAGTTCAGAACAATGTGCACTACTGTGATCCACCGGAAAAGTATAGCCAAAAGAGCTTTGGCTGCACTATTCCTTAAATGTTTTCTACCATTTGTAGCTTTCTAGTATCTGCTGAAAACAGAATACTTATGGGCGAAAAGCAACACAAAATCTCTCTGTTCTTGTGTAAGAGTTTATCCTACCTCCCATTCCCATTTACACAGAAATGGAGGGACTACAGTTGTAGGTGGGAGAGAAAGGGCTGTTTTACACACAGGTGGCCATGGGGTGGTAAAAACAGGTGGCTGAGCCACATTTTTACTACCCCTCCCCCTCCCCCCAGCCACCCACCTAAATTCTAGCATTAAAGATGGTCAGGGGACACATGCCAAAGCTGCAATACTTTGTAATCTGAAATCCATCACAGTTTTTTTTTCAGGGGGGGGTGGTAGGTACTGCCATCAGTGCGAAAGAGCAATAAGGGGGCCATATGACCTTGATAGTGCATGGAGTATGGGCATAGGGTCCAGACAGGGTTCTTCTTATGTAGGCAGGGGAATCTCAGTCAAGGTTTTTGGCCTAATAGTGGACAAAATATTCCAAAGCTGTATGGTCTGCTAGGGTTTGGAGGCGGGTCTTAGTCTGTATGTATATACATGGTTAGGTTTCTGATAATATACAAATAAGTTCTGATAGAAACTGATTATGTAAGGTATTTCTAACATTTTTCTCCCAATGTTTTATTTCTGTATTGCTTTCATTAGTATTTATGTGGCAGGGTCAGCAAAATAAGCAGAGACCTGTGATCCCCACCCCACTCACACTAAATCTTAAGTCCTATTAGAACCTACGAGTGACAGTGGAATTCAATGGAGATGTGCGCAGGATGGTATAAAAGAATAATAAAAGTATAATAATATAGTGTGATTATGGTGAGGACATTAGAGTGTAAGCAGCGCCAGTGCAGGTTGATATGAATGGTTCAGTAATCTCTGTACAGCACTGTTGCATTACAGAACAATACAAAAATATACTGTATAATAAGTAAAGAACAAGGTTGAATACCCCTATACCTGATAGGGAGCAACCCCCTTCATATCTTAGATACACCACTGTCTACATCTACAGGCTTGTCAGTGCTGAAAACTTGCCATGTCAGTGGCTGTATCTTCCTACCATACTTTCTGACTCTTTCTCACCCTTAGTTTGGGATGTCTCTGCCCACACTGGGATGACCCACTCAATCTGTCTCATTCTTCATTATTTAAAATATACAAGAGTCAACAGGATTGGTGGAAATTCCCTCATAGAGGCCATTGTAGGAATGGAGACCTTGGAAAGTGTCTCAGAATTCTCACAAAAAGAGCCCCTGAGATATTATGTTGTAAAGCGCTGCGTAAACTGTGGGTGCTATATAAATTATGTATAATAATATAAGAAGCCACAAAAATGTTATTTTTTTCTCTTGGTTTTACCACTGACCTCATATTGAAACTATACAGACAGGATATCACATTGCCCAGTACTGCCTGCAATCAGGAGACATGAGGCATGAGTACACACAGTATTTAAATTTTGTGCATCTTTGATGCAGTATTCAGGAAAATGCTCCTTTTTATGAGAAATAAAGGTAACATAGGGAGAATTCATAGGAAATGCACTATGCCACATAAAAATTCCAGTGAGATGAACATAAACAATTGTCTTGTCTTTCAAATAGACTCCTTACAGCTTTCACATCAACTTGCAGATGCACTCCATGCAGCTCTTAGCTTCACCTTACAGATGCACACCATTCTCCTGATTTCACCTTCCATACTCATCCTGCCAAGTTCATAGGCTCAGAACAATATCTCTTGCAAAGAATCAGCTGCTGCTTTGGAAATTGCTCACTTTTTATTGCTGTGTAGTGTGTGCAATGTTTATGGGTAAATATATACAGACCATACATAAGGACACATTTTTGGATTTTAAAAAATGTATAAGGAATTTGGTTACTCCTCCCTTTCCCTGGGGTGGCTGGGTGTGACACATGAATGCATAATACAGACTCTGTTTAAGTATTTATATGTGTTCAACAGCTATAATATGTGTCTTATTATCCATATGACAGATCTTACCATCTTCCTGAGGAAGAATATCACGAAATGCGTTCAAGAATTATTATTATTCTACAGGATTTCTATAACGCCAACAGTTTGCTCAGCGTTTTACAATATAATGGGAGACAATACAGCAACAATACAGTTCAATACAAGAGGGTTAGGAGGGCCCTGCTCTCCTTGGAGCTTACTTACCATCTCCATCCTATTGATAGAATGCACATTGTTGATCTACTAAAGCAGTGGTTCTCAACCTTTCTAATGTCGCGACCCCTTAATACAGTTCCTCATGTTGTGGTGA